ACTCCTAAACCCTAAATCCAAAACTCCTAGACCGTAAGCCCTAGATCCAAAACCTCTAAACCCTAGGCCCAAAACCATTCAGGCTGTCCCAGAATCGTGAATTGGCTAAGTGACCTACGTTTTTGTTGGTTGAGTGACCTTTGAGCCCCCATGTTACAGCCCCATTTTCCAAGGACGGTCGTCTATGTAGGCTTCCTCTGACAGTCTCCTTTAAGTTTGGGGACAGGTGTTGCGGAAGAGAAACACCAATATTACTTGCACTTGTTTACGGTATTTTTCTATCAGCACTATCATTCGCATTCTCTTGAAATGTACTGCAGTTGACAGTATGGCTGCTATGGTCCGCTGTTTGGGAGTAGAGGTTGGCAGGTGCTTGTTTTTTTGGGCTCTGCAGGGGCGGGGTCATGTGGCCAGGCCGCGACGTTGCGCGCCTCCTTGGCACAGGAGCTCTACGCCACACTCTTCTTGTCCTCACCTAAGTCGTGTAGGACCGAAGAGTGAAAAAATATACAACTTTTGGGTGGGTATGCAGCCAGACTACTCAGTCCGGAACTTCTCCAAATTGGCCTTGTGGAATACTTACAAAAGACCCCAAGATCCTCTGAAAGTCTAACTGTGTCCCTGGGCGTCCCAACGACTGCGAGTATTTCCAGAAACCCCTGCGGAGTCCACTTGTCTTTGGTACCGAGGTGGCTGACACAATTTGTGGCTCGAGGCATAGCGCCTCCAAAGGCTGGATGTTCAGACAGCACCAAGCGAGTGATACTGCAATACTATTACATAGTCAGGGCATTTGTGCAGCAACAAGACTGCTTATATATGAAAACCTGAATCTGCGTGTACTTCGCCCGGACCACTTCTTTTTCTTGCGGCATGTGCTGTGCAGGCGGAGTCGGGCCGTCTGCTTGGGCTTCTGGACCTGTATGGCTTCGAGGCACACAATTGTTTTGATTGAGGCGCTCTCAGGGAGCAAGCTTAGATAGCACAGGAGGGTCATGCCCTTCCCGGGGGGCTTCAGGGCAAAAGGGGCTCAGCCTGCTAAAAGGCTCGGCCTGAGCATGGGCCAAATGGACTTTCGGTATCCCAGATGCTGCAATGGAACATCCTGCGGAGGTGTTTCCGTCCAACGGCTTCGAACAGTTTCTCATCAACTATTGCATCCTCCTCAGTGAGAATTTTATCAAAGGAAGGCATGACATTGCCAGACGCAACAAGGTTACAAATGAGCCTCCCGATTAGACTTAGGATATTGCACGAAGGCATAGAGTTAGCTGGTGCTGCATTGAGCGATAGCAGAGTCGGCAGTCAGACCTCCTGCTTCGCTGAGGCAATGAGCGGTTGCAACAATTCTTCAATCGTCAGGCGTATTCATGGCTGTCAAATCATGTCTTCTTGAGACCCCAGAATGATTTCAAATGGCCCACACATCAGGTTTCTCTTGAGCAACTAGGAGCAGTCCCCATCATGAAGAAGTGAAAGATCCTGACAGGTGTTCACTCGCGAGGCGGAGGAGTATTCCAGCGAAGGCTGGAGGGTTTCGTATCTCACCACAAGATCAGCCCGGCACATGAAACTCGAAAACGCTTGTTGTGCTCTGCTTGGGTGACATGTTTCTGTCTTGCACAGTAGGGAAGGACAGGGGCACGCTCAGCAACTGTCAGGCCTGGACTGCAATGGTCAGTGGAAGCAGTTGACCTCTGCGTGTCAACTTCCGGCTCTGGCGCTCTTAGAGGCTTGATATTGCAGTTGTCTTCTCGACTTTTCAGGCGCAATTCCTCGGTGTCATGGTATTCCTAGGACAAGCTGCGAGATTGCGAGTCTAGGTCTATGTGTATCCTGACTCAGCAGGTTTTGCAATTTGGCAGTCTGGCTCTGGTGTTGTGTCATGAGACGACGGAGCTCACAGTTTGCAGAGCAAGCATGCTTTGCTTTGTTGGACTGGCGATCGAATGTCCAAGTTACTAAATTAGATCCTGAAGCCTCAACCCTCAATCTCCTCAGGGTAAGAAAGATGTGCTGATGCAAAATCGGATTCGATGGTTCGAAAGGCATGCTTGCATGTGAGAAGACATGTGGTCTCGAGTCACATGCACGCCCTGCTTGACTGAGTATCCTGCCAAAAATACAACCCTGACATACCCTGACTGTTCTATACAAACATCATGTAATCCCCTATAATCCCTGTAGTTAGGATATACCCCAATATAGTAGCTTCCATTTTATTTTCCATTATCCCTATATAACCCCAATATAAGCCCTATATATATCCCATAATAATCCCAGTTTCCATTTCATTTTCCATTTTCTTTTCCATTTGATTCTCCATTGTAGTAGTTTCCATTTTATTTTTCCATTATCCCTATATAGCCCCAGTATAACAAACATCATGATGACTCCCTTGGTCTTGGAGGGCTCTGGCACTGTGGGCATCTTCGATGTAGTCAACGACCGCTCGAAGTGCAACTTTGAGGAGTTTTTGCCTGGCGTTTTGCCTGGTAATTCACGGGTGAAAATGTCAGAATTGAGCTGCAGATTTGCTGTTTGACTTCAGGAGGCGCAGATGAGCCTGGCGGGCGCGCTTGGACTTGAGAGAGTTGAGTTTCCATGGCAGCATTGAGGATATCTTAATTTGCTTGAACTAAGCTGATCTTCCCGGGGCCGTGTCTGATTCAAGCATCACGCCATAGATCCGATTACGCTACCACTTCCGCTCTGTCGCAAACTTCCGACAGAGCACTCCATAAGCTCACGGTCCTGTTGCACAAGCTACTCTAGGATCGGAGAGGTCAGGTGATATCTGGATCCTCCAGAAACAAGAGCAGGGACTGACGTCATCCTCACAAGACAAGAGGCATTGCAAACTGACAGCAACAGGGCCCAAGAGCAAAAAGAAGCCCCACAGTCTGATCCATGACCGGGCCGTGGTGACCTCAGCTTGAGGGCTGATGGCTGGTTGCGGTCAGATTTTCAGTGTAGAGTTGATGGGATGCCAGCACCGACCTTGTTTTGAAGTGCTGCTCAGTTCAAGGTCGGCAGAGTCTTACGGAAGCCTTCCACTTCACTTTGGTGGGCAGGCGGCCATTTTGCAGTGCTTGGATCCTGTTGCCTGCAAACGAAATTCTGCCTAATGGCTCATCTTTTGTTTATGAAGGCCAAGCCCTATCGACAAAGGCGGGATGCCATCTTTCCTTCTGCTTTGCTCTGCATCCTGTCTGCAAGTGTAAACACTGCAGGTTCAATATCTGCCCATTGACATACTGCTTGTTGGGGCTCGGCCCTTGACAGATCTCCCAGTGCCGTTCACAATGGATTCGGATTCCCGGCTGGCTAAGGCCATGGCTGGTATTCGTTGCCATCATTCAGGTCGGTCCCTTGGAGTGAGTCAGCTTCTTGCCTTTTAGCCAATTCGCCTCGGAAATTGCTACTGAGTACATTGGGCAAGGAAAGCCCAGGCAGCATTTGTTCCGGTAGCAATATCTCCCATGGCGACATGGTGAAACGAGGTTCGGTCCTTCGCCCTACGACACAAGCACTTGGCTTTGGCCAACACCTTGACGGTGTGCGCGGGGTAGACTCCTCACCGGGCTTCAGAGTTAGGGTTGTCAGGGCCCGAATCCCCAGCAGTCAGAGCCCGTGGTTGGCAACCTAGAATTGTTCCTATGCAGGTGTGGGATTGAGTGTGCAGCGTTGCTCTCGACCCAAGGCTTTCAGAGCCCTCAGCCCTGAACCCCAAATCTCTTGCCAGGCGGCTGTGTGGCTTTTCACGTTGTCTGGCGCCCAACATGCTGATCCCCTCCTTGTCCATGCTTGAAGATCCTACTCCAGCCCAAAAGTGCTTTCGAAACGGAGACAGGGGTGGTTGTTATATTGAGGGGAAGGATGAAGCATGGTGTTTCCAATGCTGGGAACAATTTCCAGCCAGTCATGACATCCAGCAACCCCATCATGGATAAAGTGGTTTCCTACCGCAGCAGCCGTGATATGGCAGTTTCCAAACACAAGCTGGGGCCCGTATCCCCCAAGTGAACTATAACCCATATTAATACATTACTCCCAACAAATCACAATTTCTGCAAATCCCTACATTAACCAGGCCCCACTAGTAGACACCCATCTAGGTGTGTTGCTTTCTTCGCCTTGGACAGGGCTGCGCTGGCCGCTAAGATTCTTCACTGCTTGTGTTTTGTTCCTGAAGCAGGGATAGCAACATACGGGTATATATATATATATATATTTATATGTATATACATATATAGATCTAGAGGTCTAGATCCATAGATGTACATAGAGATATGTAGATATTGTAGGGATGTATGGAAATACAGCGATACACAGTATATGGAGACGTCATCATCATGATAGATGTAAATGTTGCCAGGTGTGGACAGAAACATTACGTTGGATTATGGGAGTGTTTGACGGGTTGTTGAAGATGGACGCATATGATAGAAACAGCAGAGTCCACAACAGCAGAACAGGAGCCCAGGCTGTGTGACTAATACTAAAGTGGCAAGTGGCAGTCTGGATGAACACTTTCCAAGGCATTTGTGACATATGCAAGTCTGTGCAATTCCACTCTTCAACTTTGGCAGAAGACTTGCTAGCTTTGGAAAGCCCCATTTACGGCATTCACCAGCAACGGCTCCTCTTCAGGCGGAAGCTTCGTGGAGAGGTCCTGCAAGCCTCCTGGCCACTCAGCTGCTCATGGCTTAGAACCGGCAGAATTTGCAAAGTTCCCGCCGTGCTCTGATGTAGTGCCGAAGGGGCACAGGGGCGAGTATCTGACCGGCGAGCAGCTTTCAAGCGCTCTCTATCATCTAATCTGAACGAACTTGATCTGAGTTGCAGGGCTTTCCGAGGGCCAGGTCTTGCAAGGGGCCCTCCTGGAAATCTAAGGATGAGCTTCACAGCTTTGCCCACAGCTTACCTTCTTTGACTGCGACAATCGGTAATCAGCCTGTAGCCACCAATGTCGTGAATGGCTCGTGTAGCAAAGGACCATGATCCTGGCCGCCATTTGTGGAACTCTGGCAGGAGAGTACAACTATCAGGCACATGTTCTTTGCTCTTTACAGTGGAACGCCACCCAGCTCAATCAAGCAGTTGGCAGGTAAACATGCTGCCCTACTTCGATGTGGCCATGCTGCAGACCTATTTGGATGTCGATCCAGCAAGTGCCAGGCAAGCATTCTGACGTTCTTGCTGCTGCAGTAGCGGGAAGTTCATCGGCGGCTGATTTTGTCTGTCTGTGTCAGGGGTGAACACCTCATGGACGCAGGCCGCATTGTCTTCTCGGAGGCCTCGCAGCAGACTCTGTTGCGAAGATGCTAAAGCGGTCTGACCGCTCACACGTCAGGGTTCCCACCTGGACCTTCAGCATTCCATGGGCTTCATGGACACGGAGACTTGGTGCGCGGGTTCCTGATGTTGGTTTGCACTTCTTGTGGCGCGATATGCGCATGTCTGCAGTCTGCAGCAAGGTTGCACCTGTGACGACAAGAAACCTCGATGGCAACAGCACCATGCCCGCCGTCGTTGACTTCTGGGCCATCGGCAAGAACTGCTTCCAGATTGAACTGGATTTTTCAAGGTGTGCGCAGTGGACTCAAAAGGCTTGTTTGGGCCAAGTTGCGAGGGTAACAAGTGAGGGGGCCGTGTCACCAACACCACTTGGGGGCTTTGAGGGCAATGTACGAGGGAAGGCTGGCAGCATTGCCCGCATAAGCCTTGAGCAGTAGGCTCTTGACAGCCGAACCCAGGTCCGCTTCCTTTTGCGTGTACAAACAGATTGACGATCCTGTAGGAGCTAATGCGCCTTGCAATCACACAATCAATGTCTTCAACATAGTCTGCCCTTTGCAGTTCTAGGTGCTTGAAGTCCTGCAGGTTGCACAGGCAGCACTGGGGGTGATTTTCGTTGCGGTTCGCTGCTGACTCAGATCTGCTTGCAACTGCTACGTTCAGACATGCGTGACGCCGTTTGATCAATGCTCTCACTTAAGCATGACATGGGTAGACATTATCACGTATTTGAAGGCTGCCATATGATGTGTCAATCTATACATGTATTCATTGCCTGCTTCCAGTGACCAGCATAAAGTCTTTGAGCTGGTAAGGGCTGTGATTGCTGTGACGTGGAGGATTCGAAGCTGCAGTGGGTAATGCGAGGTGGTCCGACCGTTTCGCTCACGGCGGGCTGCGTCTTCTTGACGAAACAGAGCGGCCCTTCTACAGGCAATGGCTTGCTAGTACGTTCCTGAAGCTTACCCACCGGGAATTCCGGAACATTGCAAGCTTGCGCTTGGGATTGCTCTCTGAATCATCTGAATTTTCACGGTTGGCGGACTGAAGCAGCATGGATGGGTTTCAGGATGGCGGTGCATCAGGCGGAGGCTGCCTACAAACTCCAGGCGGGAAAGCGGAGTGTGTCCAGATGGCACCTGCTTGGTTAGTTTTTTATAGAAGGGCTCCCTTATGCTTCCTTTTTTTGGCGCATGACCTTAAGGTGAATTTACTCCATTTGTTTGCAGCTTTTGGCAAGTCTTCAGGCTTATGGCTCAAGAGCTTTAGGGGTATCGATCACAGGAACTTCGAACAGAGTCAGAGATTCTCCGGGGCAGGTCGATGGTTGCTACCATACCTTTGAAGCTTTCCATGCAAGAATTGTTTGTTTTCGTAGGTGCTTCACCCCATCTTTCTGCATTGGATGCCTGAGCCAGTGGAGGACAGCCAGAGGGCATGCAGGGAACGTGGTGTCAGTGCTATTCAATCCTGTTGATCATGGGTGTGTTGGCGAATGCCGTGCAAATGAATTGCTAGAATCTTTACCTGAGATACTTGAGCTGTCAGGAGGTCAACGCATACAGGAATGGCGGACACAGGCGTCGCGTAGTTTGTGATGTTTCGGCTGTTAGACCCGATTCGCTTTGTCTTGAGGTTCTTGAAGGTCGCAGTGATGTCATACTTCTGCTTTCAGTTCGCCCTTGTCAGCTCCTCAGGAGAGCACGATTTGTTGGTAGCATCAGCTGTTTCCAGCGGGATGACAATTGGTGACTGCTCCCAGGTGTTTCTGGCCGTATTCTTCATACAGAAAGTGGCGCAGCGAGGGGCTCAGGACGAAGGCTCTTAAGTAATCCTGCTTGTTGCTTCTCTGCCTTCTCTGAGGTGGTGAGAAGCAGAGAGAGCGTCTTTCGAAAAAAAAGTTGTTTGCTGCGCGATGCGGCTGGGTCACAGAATCCAGTGTACATATATGCATTTGTATGTATCCCCCTCAGATCCATATTTGGATGGCTCTCGGTCTCAGATTTATGAGTTTTTTCGGATGCAGAAGAGAATGAGGGTAAGGACCTCATAGCTACTTGAAAGTATGTTCTACTGTATGTATACATTAGTTACTACAGGTGGGCTGAACTAATCCAGGAATTCTCTGCTCCTGGCCTTGATTTTGATCAATCTAAAGGGTACTTCTCAGATCCCGGGTTCCTGGTTTGCTCTGATTCCCTTCCTCAATATGTGTCAACGTTAAACTGGAATTCTCAGATCCTGGGTTCTTAAGTTTCTCAAGAAGTTTGCATTGCAAAATGTTCTATCGGAATTATATTGGGATTATGTAGGGATAATGGAAAAGAACATGGAAACTACTTAGGTTCAAAAATTGGATGGAAGCTCTAGCATCCTGGGCCCTCATTCTCATCTCTTGACACTTGAACTTCGTTAAATGAGCTACAGTCTAAACTCCTTAAAGGGTGTTATATAGGATATAGGGGATTAGCGAGGCGACTACTGGAGGGGTCATTGAGGGGGTTACTCGGAGTTTAGACTATGGTTCATAAAAGGCGCTGACAGAATATGTTTCGGTCAAATTTACAGAGACCTCTCAGGCCCTGTGTTGCTGATTTTCTTTAGTCAATTTCTAAACGAAGTGTGGTTGAACTTTTTCTTTCCATCGCTGGGTTTTCTTTATATAAGCAACTTTCTAAGCATGCTTCAAAATTACGTGTGAACTTCTTGGATTCTGAGTTCCAGGTTTTCCTTATGTAAACCCCTTACTAAATGTGTTTCAAAGGGTGGTTCTCTGGTCCTGGGGTCCTGATCTTCTGCACATACATCCCTTACGGCGTGTGCTTCAAATTTGACTAGGGGTTTGCTCTTATTGGGTTTGCTTTTCTCAAAACAGATCCCTTCCAAGATGTGCTTCTGATTTACTCAAACTTAAATGGCAATTCTTATTTCTTGGTTGGAGCTTCTCTATATATAAAATCCTTACTACAGATATTTCAAACTAAACGGTACTTCTCTCATCCGAAGTTAATGGTTTTCAGCATATTGATCCCTTACCAAGTGTGCTCCAAATTTGAACGGGGATTTTCTCTTCCTGGCCTCCATTGTATCTACAAGCCCCCTTACAAGATGTGCTTCAACTTTAGCAGGAGTGTCAAGTCCTGAGAGCTCCGGGTTTTGGTGAAATTGCTTGGGAATTCTAAAGCCCATAACCTTGGTAATCCCCTTCTGGGCATTGATTCTCTGTACATGAATCTCTTGTTAAATGTGCCTTTTTCCTATTCTGGGTTCCTGACTTTGGCTATCTAAACCCCTTACTGAGGGCGCTTGAGATTTACACCAGAAATTCTTAAATCCTTGGTTCTGACCTTTTACTATACAGCTTCATTAGTACATGTCTTTCAACGTCATACAAGAATTCGCAGGACCTGGGTTCTGGGTGTCTCTATATAACATCCTCACTGAATCTTTTTCAAAGCCTTCAACATTTTAATTGGAATTCTCTTTTCCAGGGTTCGATGAATTCTCAGATCCTGGGTTGCTGGCTTCATGCAAATTCGCTTGCTATTCTCCGATCTCGGGTTTCAAATGTGGAGGGGAGCTCTAGAATCATGGGCCTTGATCCTCATTTCCTGACATTTGAGCTTCTTTACAAAAATCGCTTATTAGAAATGTGACGTGTCGAATTCACCGGAATTCTCAGGTCCTGTGTCCCCAGTTTTCTCCATGCAAATACTTTACTAAATTTTCTGCTTTCCCGAGCTTCCTTCAAGCAGACCCCTTACGATTAAAGATGCTTCAGATTTGAACGGGAAATCCTTGAAGCCTGGGTTCAGCGGTTTCTCTGCAGTATGCTGAATTTCAAAATTCAATGAACAATCCCGAACTCTCGGATTCTTGGATTTTTCAGGCTTCGGTAGGATTCCGATCTGCATGAACTTCTGCTAACATTTCAGGATCTGGAAACTTGCCTTCGGGTGTTTTTGTACTTTCTCAGGTTTTTGCAAGGTTTTCAAGGAACAGGTTGCAACAATGAGGAAGTACCAAAAGCATCTCACGAGTTGAACATCTTGCCAGAACCTGCAGACGTACCAAAAAACAACAAAATCAAAGTTTGAAGGTCTTGGGTTGTTTTGGTGTCTCCTCAGGTTGTTGCAAGGTTTAGAGGAATAATGCCAAAGCCTGAGGGGGTACCACAATAAATAAGTGTGGAGGTGAACAACTTGCCAAAACCTGAGGAGGTACCAACAAAAAGGTTTTGGAGGTTGGGATCAGGGGTCTCAGAATCTTTTGTGGTTCCCTTCAGGGTTTTGCGAAAATATTCCCAAAACCTGAGGACGTACAACAAACCAAAGTTTAGGCACAAATCTTGCGAAAATCTGCGGAAGTACAAAAACGAGTTTTGGAGGTCTTGGGATTGGGAGTCTCAGAAACTCTGTTTTGTTCATGCATCCTCAAATCTTGGCGATATTTTTGGACCGGATTTTTTTTGGCACCCTTCAGATTTTTTTCAAGCAATATTGCCGACACCTGAGGAGACCAAGCGCCCAACAACAGCAGGTTTTCGCAAGGTTTCCGAGGAAAATGTTGCCAAGACCCTGGGAGGAGATAGAAACAACCAAGCTTGTAGCCATCAGTCAACTACGGAGTCCGGTTGTCACTAAACGCACCTCGAGAACTTGCAAATTCTTGCAGCAGATATATTTATTTTCAGACAAGTAGTGATCACCATGTTTTGCAGTGCTTTCAGCAATTCGATATAAGGACATGATGTACTTGAGGAATTGATGCAAAATCTTACAGCATGCATCTGGAGGGGTGACCGTATACATATTCCTGTACATATGTATATATATATGTACGCACATATTGTCTAAAGCCATACGTATAAATAAATAGATATATATATATATATAGACATAGATATTTCTCATATATGAAAAGCATTATGACATATACATGTTATACACGGCGTGCAGAGCGTAAATCGCGCCAGGTCACGGACCCACCGGTGGCCTTGCAGAGACACTGAGCGCCTCCTGCGGCAGCCATCCTGCCTTCCGCCCTTTGGAAGAATAGTACCAAAGATGTAGGGATGAAAGCGTGCTCGGGGTCGTTTGAGGATGTTCATCTGCTTGTGCTTGCTCCTTCAGATTTTCTCGCCTGCAAATTGAAAAGGAGGCTGTCCTGATGCGCGTCTCTGTCACGTCCTCCTGAGGCCGTGCGAGCGGCCGCGACAGCAGGCACTGGTACCAGTTGTCACACGGGGTCTTTTCCATCCATGATGATCGCTGACCTGCGAGTCGTCTCTTTGGTGTCAAGCACTTTGCGGGGGAGGTCTTCTACGAGGACGCTGCAAGTAATGTTGGTTCAAGAAGCTTGACGCAGCATCCGTTCTCCTGCCTAATTGCAGATGCATGGAAGCAGGCAGCAAGCTTTGTTCGCAAGAATGCCAGTGCTCACCGCCCAGACATTTGCGCATTCCTGAGGCAAGGAAGCTGGACAGCCTTAAGATTGCTGCATTTCAGTTCTGCATGCTGCAAGCCCGTGGCTACTAAACAAATGCAGGGAGCACGGTGGCAGCTTCGTTCGGCAGGCTACGAAAGCCTCACAACTACCAGCCGCACAAGCTTTGCTGTTGTGCTCTCCTGTGCAGATGGTCGATAGCGGCACTGATGAAACGAGGCAAGCAGAAGCTGCAAGGCACCTCGGTTGAGATGTGCATGCTTTCACGGACTCCTGATGATCTTCTGCTGGTAGTGCTGCTGGTGCTGGCAGGCGCGGGCGAAAGCTGTTTGGGCGAACACTCATCAACATATTCCAGCAGGCCAGACAAGTGTCATCATGCGCAGCATGGCTGAGCCATTGCTTTGGCACATCCGCATACTCACGCCTTGTTGGCTCTCCAGCAACGGCCTCGAAAAAACAATTGCTGGTAGAAGGAGTTGACGGAGCTGTGCTCCACGCTAGAAGCCAGAGATTGCCTGGGACGCGGTCAGTTCCATGCAGATACACTTGCCAATGCTTGGCCAATGCTAAGTGAAACATAATGAAACGCTGAGGTCGGCACGTGCGGTGCTTGCGACCAAATGATGAACAGGCATTGTTGCAGCCAACAGTCTTTCCTGCGGGTCCTGCTGCCACCTCATGCCACTGCCACCAGAAACCCCTGTTCTTCGATGACAAGTCCATGCTGCGCCAGTGCCGCTACAGTGGCTTGCTTGAGGCCGCCGTCTGCGCAGCTGACCGCAACTAGGATTATGATTATGTTTCTTCACAGGCCACGCGCATCCGAAGACAGGGCTATGCTCATCGGCGGTCACTCTCGCACTTTGCTTCCAGGCGAGGCTGAGTATCGGAGGTGGTGATGCCTCATGTGTTTGTCACAGACATCCAATGCCCAGGTACGCTCTTCTGCTGGCTCCGGAGGCTTGACCGTGAGCCTCTGCACAGAGAAGCTCACAGCAAAAAGTTTCCCAGGCACGACGAAGAGCCCGCCAGGTGATGGCCGGCAGCTTGAAAGCCTGAATGCTTCGAACATGGCAGCAATGCCAAGCTGTTTCGGCAAGAGCACTGGCACAGTTGCTTTTAACAAGGGTTTTTAGAGTAGATGCCTGACATCTTTCAAATGCCCATCTGATTGGAAGGGTTGCTTGGTGTTGTGGCATCCGTTCTCAGGATGCTGCCTCCTGTTCTGCCATCAGCGAGGCCTTGGAATAGTGTACCACACTCCAAGTCCCCTGGAAACTTGGCAGAATGTTGCAAGCTGGCTGATGTGCTTTGAACGTTAGCAAGCAGTTTTACATCCCAAGCCTTCCCCAATGATGTGCTTTGCTTGCTTCATACAAGGCTTTGTGAGATGTGCAGCAAATGGGACAAGAGTGTGATGCCGAGCTAAACGCAAGCCATGTTTCAGCAGTCGATTCCCGCAGCGTATGTGATACGCCCGACAAGCAACCCGTTTTATCGGTTCAGATATTCACTTGCAACTTGAACATGATCCCTAGAAAATTGTGCACCAGGTGGCAGTCTTCGGCGGTGTCTCCCGCGATGATGTGCGAATTGGCCAGACGAAGGTTGCCCAGCTTAGACCAGCAGCATAAGCTTTTAAGGCTGCAGTCAAGTGCAAGGTCTCAAGCCCCGTCCAATTGCAAGTTCACAAGCCCAACCCGTAGCTCCAATGGTGGCTGTTTCCAAAGCATGTGTGATTGTGCGGACGTGCCACCAAAAACAACTAAGAACCCCTTAGCTTGTCAGCTCCTCAACTCCGGACGCCTTGAAACATGAACGAGACCTTGGCCCGAAATTTCAGGGATTTCGCCCATCAGGCTTCAGTGCAGAAGTCTGGCCACCTGAATTCGTTGTGATCCTGAATTGTCGGTGATCAAAGCATTGCTCCGTGTTATCTACTTCAGTGCCGCGCCAAGCCTAGAGCCATCATAAGTAACAATCATTAGTACTACTTAAGAAGTTCATAAAACCAGATACTAATAAGTAGTAATCATAAGTACTAAAAGTGATCAGCCAAAGCCCACGGTCCAATGGTGCAGGTTTTCATGCGCGAGCCAGCTCTGGCCTGGCTGGAGAGTCGGAGGCGCACATCGTGGGTGCAACGAACTGGTGTGATGATTTTTCAAAATTTCGGTGAGCCAACTTGGCTAACGCTTGCAAGCCTGCGCCTAGCAACATCGTTACCACATTTGGCAGCTGCATTGGCAGGATCCACTTGAAAAAGCATCCTGAGTGCAGCTGATTAATGCTCTGCATGCCGTGACGTTTCAAGCCATGGCTTCCTGTATGAGCTTGGATTCAGAGAGGTCCTTCTTTCAGTCCCCTATCCCTAAAATCGACGAACCACTTGTGACAGTGAGCACCAAGAGGTCTTTCCGCGCCTCCTTGGCCATACTGGCTGGCCTCAGAGGCTTCCGAGCCAGGCTGGGCCATAGCTAATTTCCAAGATGAAGCCATGCCCGGACTTGGGAATTGGGCAAGGAAGAACCCCCAACATAGGCTACAGATCTATATTAATGATCTATATTGTTGTAATATGGTGTCTTCATTCAGCATACTTAGACCTAGCAATGCCGCCTAGGCGTATGTTTCAGCGAATACGCGGCAGCGTGCTGAAGCTCCAGGCAAGGTGGTGTGCACAATCTGAGATGACGTTGCGCTACAACTTGGGGATACCAATCGTGCCGAGCATGGAGTACTGGTGGCATTTCGTCTTGCTTGGAGCTGCTGCATCAAATAGTCAGCTCTCGGGCGTAAGCATGGAGAATCAAGTGGAGAAGAACATGGAAAATGATATGGGAACTGGGTTTACGTAGGGGGCTTTAGGAGTACAATGACGGTTGAGCTTTAGGATGGTGGCAGGCTGGACAGGTCTCCAGGGCTTTGGTTTCAAACCTACCCATGTAGGTTTTTTGTCAGTCCAAACCCTGCTGCTCCAGATCCGTTTTCTTTTCCATTTGATTCTCTGTTATGGGGAAATATTCCCCACATAATATAGTTCCTGTACGACCCTTATCATTCCTAAACGACCCCTTATATTTTCCTTATATAGCCCCTATACAACCCACGCTAGACTAGCTTCCCAGCCAAACTTGGGACTCCAGGCATTTGCTAGAGGCTGTGCTGGTCGACGGCGTGTAGAAAGCCCAGCTTTGCCACAGTTGGGAGTATATAGGGGTGTCATCAGAGGTCACTTTTTTGGGGATCATTCTACAACGGCGTATTGTATGTTTAAAAAAGTAATGTAGGGAACCCTGGTTTGGGAAAACCTGCATGTTACAAGTAACTTCAGTCAGCAGGGGTATTTTTGGTACTGTGAGTACAGCTATGATCAACATGATGGCCCTCCTACTGCCCTGCTCTATAATCTTCTTCGAAGCCTGCGCACGATGGATAGCGCTTGGCTACGTGGTCTGACGATGCGTGGTCGTCGTTGTCCAACTCTTCATCCTAGCGCTAGTACTCATATAAATGCCATCACCACACCTAGTATGATTGCTTTCATAGCGTTACCACTCCTGTTGCTGCTTGGTTGTAATTGAGATGTTGACGACCATGAGTTTGTTGCAATGCATTCTCAGTGTTCTACGTGTGTTGCTGGTAGTTGCTCATGAGATGTGAGTCGTGGAGTCAGTGAATTGATGCAGCTCTGTTGGCAGTTGGCTGCAGTGGATTGTGGAGTCGGATTGGATGTAGCAGTAGGTGCTCATAGCCCATTCGCAGTGGTGCTGGTAATCAAGGCCAAGGAGGTGGCGGCCGAGCTGAGATTACGGCAGGTGTGGCATGCGGAGCCTGCGGTGTCCGGTGCCAGGGTAGCATCAAGTCGCCAAAGACTTGCGAAGGCTGAGCGACGAGCAGCAGAGAAAGCTGCGGCCGCCAAGGCGCGCGCAGCAATGTTGCATTGAGGGGCAGTGTTTAGAGCTGGTGTTCAGCCAACATGGTTGCAAGGCCGTGGCTCTTGCGCGAGCTGCGATACGGGAGGCGTTGGGTTGGAAGTGTTTGCTGGCATGTGTGAATGAAGCTGCTGCCTCTCCCACGTAGGAAAAGTATTACAATGCTTACACGCATTGTCATAGGATCTTTGATCCTTCAGATTTTGCATGCTACACCTACGTTTCTGTAAAGCACAGCACTTCTCTGTTCAAGACTGCGGAGGCCTAGCTAAACTGACAGCAACCTTCAGCATGCCCGGTTGTTGTTGTTGTTGTTGTTGACCAGAAGCATGAGATATCCTGATGGGTGGTCACCAGCAACACCCGTGCTAGCCCATGCCCATCACAACTAAATCTCAACCCACAATTTTTCAAGTGCGGCGGCTGGATTTTGAACAGGATGCTGCCCTGCAGCTGCAGTGCAATTGGCGTGGGAGGCCCCGCAAAGTAGCACAGTGAGAAACGGTCCCAAGGCATCTTAACATTGACCGGCAGGCAGGTGAGAAAGGCTCTGGCTGCTGCCCGCAGTGGCCTCATGGGCGTTTGACTGGAATTATGAAATTTGACGTAGGCTTGCTGCATGACCTAGGCGAGGACCGGTCTGGGACCAAGAAAATATGCTTGCAATGATGCTTGGAAACCCCACGAGGGGTGCAGTTTAGTGGACAACCTTTTCCAGCCAAGGCTCCGCCACATCCAGGCCCTAGCTGCTGCCGCTGCAAACGCTTTCCCCTTGGATTTTTGCTAATGTGCTGAAAGCAATGCTCAAAACCATTGGGTTGTCTGGAGCCCTGGAGCTTGTCTTTCAGGCTGCCACAACGCCCCTGGAGGAACCCAGGAAGGCCTCGCATGCTGGATGTCCCATGGGCCCAGGCAATCTTGCTGAGCTGTGAAGGTGCCTTCATATCTGGCAGCACCTCGTGCAGCTTCAACCAAAAGGCAGGGGACTCAGTAGGTCGTGCTTGGGCACTGATTTCCGTGAAGCATGCTTCAGAGGCTCGTTGGTGAGATCAGACTGGGCCAGCCGCAGTATGGTCAACGCTACACGAGGTGTCCAAGAACCCACGGCCAAGTATTGTCCCGCTGCGCCCTGTTGTATGGCAGGCCGCTAAGGGAGCACGAGATCCGTGCTGCTTGTAGAGGCGATGCAGCAAGTCAAAAGGACAGCTCGCGTATCCGAAAGATGAGCCAATGATCATTGACAACATGACCCCGGATTCCATGAGAGGAGAACGTTGCTGTGCCCAACGGCCAGTAGCAATCTCAGAACGTTTCAGGGCAGCGCGGTGCACATTGCTTGAATCATTACCCTTTCAGACAGCACCCCTCCGGCTAAGGTTGCAGCATACTCTTCCGGACAAGGCCTAGATAGACAGATGCCATCAATGCTGCTTGGGTATGCCTTACGTACAAGACATTGAACCACCTGATCGCAGCATTTCTGCGGCTTGACTGAGGAAGCTCTTTCATCACCCGCAGCAACTGGAGCTGGCTTGGGTCTGCAATGGCTAACCAATAGATGATATTGATTCTCGACTCCTCTTCCCCTCCGTGTATGAGATTGTACAACCTCAGAGACCCCATTTGCGCCATGGCATCGGCACTGCTCCGGGACGGTGATGCTGTGTCCATGTCCTCAGCGTGCAGTGCCATTGCAGCACCAGTGGAGGAGGCAGGACCAGCGACGCAATACAATCCCAAGATTCTAGACAATCCAAACTATAGTAAAGTTGCAGGAGGGAGCAACAGCAGCAATTTACCTCAACATCAGGGCTTCGCTTAATCGGCCGTTTGTTGAAGTGACACCCAATGCCATTTTCTCAGGCAAATGGAATGATTTGTGAACTTTCTCCCTCGCTGACAAACATCAAATCTCAATTTCTGCAAAGGGGAATGTTCCTTACCATTTCCACATGATCACTTTCAATTGATGAGCGGATCAGGCATCTACTGGCCCGTAACCCATGTCCCGGCCATGATTGACATGTTTCCACGAATCAAGAGTGGGTTGTTACATGTCATTTATTTCCTAAGGTTGCTTCAACACCACTGTCTAGACGTGAACCAGTTGTGCCAGCTTCAGACTTCATCATCACATGCCTTAGAGCGGCTGGAGAGCTGAAAGCCTGACAACCCCTCAACGGAAGCCGCAATAAAGTGATGCTGGTGCTGTGAAGGGTGCAGGGCAGGGGAGTTCAGGGAAGACTGGCTCAGCTATCATGGCGACACATGTCACCATGCAAGTGAGGCTGGCTGCCACTGCCTCGTCCCGTGGCTGATGGGTGTGTGCAGAAGCCTAGGAAGCCCCTGATCGTGTAGAAGCTGTGAAGAGGCTGCAGTCTGTATGTTGCGGACATTCTCAATGGGTCTACTGTCCCTCATCTATCGCCATGTGCTGTCGAAGATTGATATTGTCCATATTCCACACATTGATGATGTCAATCAAGAGGGCCACATAACAAAATCTCAGCTTCAACTTCATCAACTGAGGCGCTTCTTGGGACCCATCGTGAAGTTCCTTGCTCTGCCTCTCAGCGTCGGCTTAGTTTTGGAGTGCCGCTCTCAGCCTGTAGCTTTGTTGCATCGTAGCATTGCTTGGGGTTGAAGCTCCACAGAGCCTTAAAACTCAATATCTAATCCTAAATCGCGAGTTCCTTGATGCATGCCTGAGGCAGTATGGGGCCTACACGCTGGCCAGTGCTGGCCGTGTTGTGCAGCAAGACAAAGGCAGAACCCGTGCTCCAAGAGTCTCCCGGGCAACCCTGTGCAAAGACGGTCTGATTCTGATACACCCATGGTAAAGTGCAAAACAAAAAACTTTGAACTTGTGCAGTTGCCGTTCTGGCGATCATGAAGGAGGAAAGAAAGGCCCGGGCAGACTGAAGCAGCTATGCCACGTGGGCTTGGTGGAGGGTTCGTTGGACTCCGGTCCACCCCGGACTCCACCTGACAGTTCATGTTGATACTTTTTATTAGCGTGTGTCTGTGATCTCTTCTGCTCCTCAAGGTCAATCATGAAGTGCGCCCAGCCAGGATACACTGCTGGATTCGCAGAGGCTGCCACTTGCCACCGAGGGCGCGCGAATTGTGGATCGTCTAGGCTACGGAGTTCGGCTGCGCTGTGTGAACTGGCGGGGGGCCCGGGCTGGTCAACCAGGGGAGAGGAGGGACCTGTTGGAAGTAGAGCCTTCAATGGGATAGTTGGTCTGGATATTTGGCGTTCCCCAGGTCCTCTGGTATTCTTCGTTCGCCTAAAGCGTGCAAGTTGTTGTGCAGGCGTCGCTTTCCACCATAGCTCCAACAGCCTAAGGTACGGCGCCCATATGCAGAACTTGGTCGTAGGCCTGCAATGCCATCAATCTGACACCACAAGTCCAAGCCTTTGGAAAAAACTGCTTCGAAGTTGCAGGTGGCCTACATAAACAAACGCTTGCAGCGCTTGTCCGCTCCATCCATGTGCCAGCCTTGGGAAGAAAGTGCATTTGTCGAAAGTCTTGATGTGGCTTGGAGTCTGACTCCTTTCAGAAGCGATGCCCTGGCTGGGATCTAGCATTGTGCTGGACAATCCCAATGCAAGAATGACGATAGGGGTCCTGTTTCTTGAGCCAGGGTATCGGGCAATAGAATCAACGGAAATGGATTTCTGCGCAGACTTGCACCTGCAGTCATGACGCTCCACATCAGCTTCCCTAAGCTGCCTTTGCAGCATGCTGAGTGCACTAGGCGCTTGGTTTCAACTGCGTCCGCCTGCCATACTCGCTGGAGATGCACTTGCGTCAGGCCGACGTCAGGCCATCTGTCATTTGCATTGATTGCTAAGGCTTAAGGCACGTAAGACGGGACATGTCCAGGAATCCAGCGTCCTGAGCGTCCTGTCGTTCCAAAAAACATGCCCGAGTGACGGCCTGATGCCAAGAGCTCCAGGCCGCCAGCTGCGGCGATCAGTGCCAACGCGGAGATGCAGATGCTCGCCAGACATGCTCAGCCTTGCATCGAGCAAGCATGGCAATCTTGGTTTACCAACTTGTGCTCCAATGCATACCGAAAAGTCTAGTCGAGGAACATGAGCGCACTTGAAATTTTCGATGCCACCGTGAAGAAGCTTGCAGAAGCCCACATCATGGTCGTGCTGAACAATCATCAGGCCTTGCGATGAACTGTAATTGTGGCATTGGGTCTCCACCCATGATGTCCTTCATGACAAGGGGAAGGCTATGTGGTGCTGCAGTGAGGATGACGGGGAAGGATTGTGGTACAGCCAGGACACAAGTGCGATGTGAGATGATTCATTCACAGACGGTGTGTTTATGACCCTTCATTGAGAGACATCCTGAGGAGTATTCTGAGGAAGATTGGCTGCAGTCGCTTCGCCTGCTTGCAAGGAGGGGAAGCGGCACGGAAGCTGTCTCACAAAATGGATCTGCAAAATGACCCCTCGTGCTGCTTACTCTCATTTGGAGGCGCTATCGAGAGGAGCCCTATGTGATCGGTTTTGACCTCCGCAATGAGCTGCGAGGCATTCCGGCCTCAGTTGCACAGAACCTCAGGCTATCTCCGCGAGGCGGGCCTTTGGCATCAGATGTCTCAGATCTCTTGTCTCTCCTTACAAACGTTGAGTCCCAAGACTCCCATAGAGAACTGTAACTAGTGACAAGCACGCACCGACAGCCCAGCTGCTTGTCCCTCTGTCAGGATTTCGTTTCTGGCCACGATGGGACTCCTACGACGAGATTTTAGACCTCCGACGTGCAGGGGAACCCCTTCTGAACAACTTCTTGAGATCAGTTCTCAAATGCCATGTCACATAGATTGCTCTCAAGAGCCGAGGCAGACGCAGAAGTGGGCAACAGCGACTGGGGCGAAGCAGCGCTAAGGGCCGGCCAAGCAGTCTTGCAGGAGTTTCCTGGAACAGTCCCAAGAACAAGTTGTATGAGGGAATTTAGTATGTACATGTCGTTTCAGGCCAACATGGCAGTGTTGAAAGAACTCCAGCAAGCCAGACCCTTGAAACGGCTCCCCAAATCTTAGCCAGATCCCAGAGTTTCAGGTTCGGGGTTTAGGGGTGATGTCAAGGAGAAGCCGGAGACTCTCATCATTGTTGAGGCCAGGCTGAGTTTCTGCAGCCAATCCATTGTCCTGGATATGGTACTGTTGACCCAACCAGGGGCATTATTGCTATGCTGGTGGTATAAATAGTAGTGATGACCAGAATAGGTGTCTCGGTACAGGCAACCCCAAAAAAAACTCAACATCCCATGATGTGCAGATTGGCCGGCGGATCGTATTACTCTGCGGATGCACGTGAAACATGCGGGCTTCCTGATGCATAGGACCTTCAGAGTCTTCATTGGGTGGTTACTGGGACTAGACTAGATATGCAGCAGCTGCTAAGCACGCTGAATTCCATGTAGCCTGCACTAAGAGGGCTTGGACTTCTCCACGGACTTGCGCGGTGCTGCGAGACGGCCGCTGCACCGTGAACAGCCTTTACGCGGACGTTGCTGGGCTTTGTCTGATGCAAGTCTTGAGGGGAGCCGCATGGAGCCAAGAAGTCCCGCCAAGGCGTGGTGTACGAGGCGCATGATTACTGCTGGTATCATGTCAACTTCTTCAGAGCCTGGATGTTGTACTGGCGCCTCGGCCTGTGCAGATGGCCTTGTCAGTTTCCTGCCGCCACGACACCGAGAGCATCACCTCCGTTAGTTTCTTGAGTTACGCAAAACAGCATCACTACGTTGCTGTTGCCATTTTACCTCAGCAAAATCCTGAGCTCATGACACTTTGTAGGCCTGCGAACGACTGAGGCTTTCTCTGGGCTGGGCAGTGCAGGTCCTTTGGCGCCTCTGCTCACCAGCGCCCGCCAAGACCAGCGCAGCCCCGAGTGTGTAGATACAGGGGCACGATAAGAAATGGCTTGGGACACAAGAGACCGTATTCATTCTGGGCACCGTTCCGTCTTTCGGAAGCAGGAGTTGGGAATCTTCCTTGGATGTGAGCTCACAATCTCGACCTATATTGTTGAACTATTGTTGAACTGCTCGTCGGGGGTGGGTGATGGTGGGAAATTATGAGCCCTAGAACGCACCGCAATTACAAGCGCTAGCGCGCTTCCGCCTCGACAGCCGGGCTGGCAAGGAGGCCAGGACGTCGCAAAGCAAGTAAGTCTTTTTTTGTGAAGAGTCAGGCGAGGCTTACCCAAAAAATGGCATGGCCCCCCAGCCAGAATCCTGCAGGTCCAGAAAACGAGCGTCATTGGGGGGTAGGATCAGAGGTCGGGAACGAAATCTAACCAAACTCTAGCTAAGGGTCACGTGCTCTTCCAGAAGCGTCTGGAAACTGCGGGGGGTAGGATTCTCGAAGGACCCAAGAGCCCGGGGGGAGGCGGAGAAGGCTGGATTCTGGTCAGTTTGTTCCAGATGCCTGGCAGCCAGAGGCCGAGGCGGATAAACCTGGGGGAGGGTTCATAAAACCATGAACAAAGGGAAGCGTCAGAATTTCTGGCATGTTCACGCAGCATTGCTGTTGAGTGACCCGACAACCAGCGCTATGACTAGGGGTCCACTGCATGCAGCTGAGGCCCTTCACCTGTACACGACAATTCGGTTCATGCACGCCCCGGCACGATTTATGGAGGTGCACGGAAGTTGCGTGCAGACGGTCCAGCGTCATGAGTGTTTCCAAGAGCCTTTATGGCCGCCAACATCCTTGTGACAGGGACTTTGTCGACAACAATTCTAGCAGTGCTCAGCATCAGCGCATTTCTCGTGAGCTGTTGGATACTTGACAGATAGAATGGTAACAGTGGTTGAGCGAGCTGAGATACAAGTAGGTGCTGCGTTGTATTTTTCGTCAACCTGAGGACAGTCTCGTACTCAGCCTTCCGTGCCAAGCTTGATGATCGATGGGGCAGCTTGGCTTTGCAATGCTTGACACAGATCAATTTATGACAACCTTGTGATGGGGAAGAAGCAGGAAAGGAGTTGCAGTGCAATCTTCAGTACCTGTGGCTCCCCTGATTGTCCCCATCCAGCTCCAGCCAGGTTTCTTGCTGGATGGCGTCGGGCGCTTAAATGCAGCTGCTATTGCGGTTACCTGTGTGATTTGGAATGATGCAAGCTTGGCTGTTTCCATCACGGGGCTGTGTTTCAGGAGTGCAAGTGTAAGCGTCTTGAGATTGGGGCTTGCAAGCCAAGCCCCGGCCCAGTGTCAACCTTGCCCTGTCGGACCCGGAGCCATACCGGAAACTCTATGAAACAGCCGCAAGCCCCAAGCTCCAACTTAAAAACCCTCAACACTACCACCCAGGCCCTAAGCCCTAAACCCTAAGCCCTATCACCAAGTGATGCCCAAGGAGGCCCCAGTCTGGCTTGGCGAATTTGGGACGAATGGATACTGGGTTACAGATGGCTGGTCTGCGGAGGCCTGGAGAGACGTCAGCTCGGAGGGTTGGGGGGGGAGGATTAAAGGGTTCAAGAGCGGCCCCGTTTAGGGTTTAAGGCGCAAGGGTTTTTGATCAGGGTGTAAGTTGAGGGTCGAAGGGTTTGAGGTTTGATGGTTTAGGGTGTCAGGATTTGAGGGTTTAGGGTTTCAGCGTTTAAGCTGTAAGGGTTTGAGGGTAGTTTAGGGTTTAGATTTAGGGTTAAAGGGCGAAAGGCTAAAGGTTTAGGAGTTTGAAGGTTCAGTGTTGAAGTTTTAGGTTTAAGCCTCGAAGGTGTAAGGATTTGAGGGTTAAAGGTTTAAGGTATAAAGGTTTAAGGGTTTGGGGCTTAAGGGTTTAGTTGAAATTTTGGGGGTTAAGGTGAACGGGTTAGGATTTGAGGTGTAACGGTTTGCAGTTACAGGTTGTTGGGTTGAAGGTGTGAGGCTTGAAGGGTTCAGGGTTGAAGGTTTGAGGTTTGCAAGTATGAGGGTTTAAGGTCTTGGGGTTCAGGGTTTAAGGTTAAGGGTTTAGTGTTTAGGGTATGCTGGGACTTGTTTGGACTTGTTGGTCCTTATGGCTGGGTCTTTTCACATCTTTGACAAGGATGGTTTTCCAGCTAGAAAGCAATGTTGGCAAATTGGGCAGACCTGCACTAAATAGGCCACAGGGCGCTGAGCCCGTACGGCCGATGCAGATGAGATTTTGTATGGTTTCCGTTTTAAGCCTGACTCAACCACACACACACACATACAATTCGGGGATGAGATCTGCCTGGGCAGGTTGGAGAAGTCCTTTGGCTCAATCACATTCTGCGGTACATGCGCCCTGGCTTGGGACTTGAATGCTTTTTTGATCAACGCAGTCTGTGTTGGGAGAACGGAAGGCAAGAGCGTGACCTGCACTATGCCTATTGGGCTCTCAATGGTGACGTTGCTGCAGACAAATGCTCAAAAGTCATCCCCATTCGATGCACATTTGGCGATCTCGGTGTCTTTCTGGCTTGTGTCTCAGGCGATAAGGCAGGGGACGATGAGACCTTTGGACTTCTCATGCAGGACTGTTGCATGTTGTGAGGTCCAGTGATGAAAAGCTTTTTTTCACAGCGTGGCCATGCAGAAAGTTGAGTCAGACACGGAGTTTGTCATCAGTCCTAGTTGCTTGTATGCATGGATATATAGAATTTCTCAGTTGAGTATGCGCATGATTCAAGTGTTCCTGTCATCGCGCAAAGAAGGCACAATTACCTGATGTGTGTGCTGCTGTACATAGACTGTGCTCGGCTCCAGCAGGACAGATTTGAGTAGAGGTTACTGCGGAGGTCCAGAATTTGCGCAGAAGGCTTGGCGCAGCCATGGAGTTCAACTTGACGGTTGCCCTCCTGAGTGGACAAAGGCAGCTTTTAAGCTTCTGCTTCAGATATCTAGCGCATTCACAGATACCGAGCCCAAAATTCACCAGCTGAGCGTGACTGGCTTTAGCCTGCCGCCTACAGCACTAAAAGATAATCCGGAATGCAACCACCATCACCGCCGCCGCCACCACAACCACCACTGCGCAGGAACTCGAGATAGTAAGGGCTTGCGAAAGCCAAATCATGCCAACTCCTGCAATTGCAACACTTTTTAAACGTCTCCACTTTGGTATTTCATTGCAGGGGAAGCCGTTGATCCCTGAGACCCCAGCGTTAGCTTCTCCTTTTTTTTTTTCAGCAAACGAAGTCATGTCATTCCGGGATGACAAAAAATTATGTTGGGGCAGGCAAAGGGAACCTTTACCTTTTGGAAATACTCACACATAAACAACCTTACAAGGAGCCCTTGTTGACCTTATAAAGCCTTCCGAATCTTCGTGAAATCCTTACAGCACAACCAGGGCAGAGCTTACGTTAGCTTCCGACCGTCCCGTACATGCCCTGCGCAGAGCAGCTGAAGTGGCCTTGGGCCGCCCTCTGAAGGCACATGGGTTCAAGGGGGGCTCTTGAGGGTTGGTGAGCTTCGAGGATGATCAGGTGCAGGGGCAAATTTTCAGGGACTGCAGTGAGGAGTGCGGGCATGTTTGGTGCTGATTTTGTGTCCACAATTTCGCAGACTTTCAGACAAGGCACCGTCAACTAGTCAATGGGGGCTGGTGTGGAAAGTGCCGATAGGCAACTGATCACCACCGTGCCCAACGCCATGGGCCTGAAAACCCGAAGCCTGCTGTTACAATTAGGACGATTAGGACCTTCAGGAATGTAGAACACTTGAATCGGAAAGCCGGGAAAGTCATTCTCAGTCCCATGCAGGCGCTGATTTCGCCAGGAGGCTCGAGCTGTGCAAGGCTTTGAGGGTCGGACGGCCGTAAGGTTTCTGCGCTTTTCCGGGGCAGTATCGGTTCCCTTTGCAGGTCTGCGGTTGAATGGTCCAAGCAGACTCTGCGATGCTGGGCTCCAGGATGGCGATCTGCTAAGCGCTACAATCCGGGAGCCAGGTCCTGTCATGGAGTCCTACCGCAAGGCAGGATGGGTTGAGATTCACAACTGGGCATCGGTGTCACCTGCGGCTGTGCTTGGGGGATGTCCTTGGATTCCTTGCAGGCAAGGGCTTTTGCTGCCATTGTTGGAGATTCAGCAAGCGTGGTGACCTGGGGAGCTCCCCATGGAGGAGGAGACAGCCGCAACGTTCAACAGCAGTTGGTCGAGGTGCAGCATGTTCACATCTCGGAGTTTGCTTGCGCCGCAATCCGGGCAGATGGAAGCGTGGTCACATGGGGATCAACTATGTCTGGGGGGGACAGCCACGATGTCAGGCACATGCTCGTCGATGTTGCGGACGTTTGTGCGACAAACTCGGCATTTGCGGCTCTGAAGCTGGACGGTTCGGTAGTCACATGGGGAGATCCTGAGAATGGCGGTGACAGTGCACATGTGCAGCACAAACTCAAGGAAGTGCAAAAGGTGTACTCTTCAAGCACAGCCTTTGCAGCCGTAACTGCACAAGGTGCGGTTGTCACCTGGGGTGCCAACACTGGGGGAGGTGACAGCAGTGCTGTGCAGAGTGAGCTCTGCGACGTGCGGCAGATCCACGCAAACCGGACGGCATTTGCAGCTGTCAGACAGGATGGCAGGATCAAGACGTGGGGTGCCTTGGCTAGTGGCGGCAGCAGCGACGGCGTCGAGGAGCAACTCTTCGATGTTTGTCAGATCCATTCCACCGCCAGAGCATTTGCTGCTTTGCGTACTGACGGTTCTGTTGTGACCTGGGGTGCTCCTGGTGCAGGAGGCGACAGTCACTGCGTGGAGCTCGTGGATGTTGTCCAAATTCATGCGACAGAGGATGCCTTTGCTGCAGTGCAGGAGGATGGTCGTGTTGTCACCTGGGGCTGCGCAGAGGGTGGAGGCAACAGCGCTGCTGTCCAGACTCAGTCCTTCGAATCTGAGGCAGCTTTGTTTTGTATCCTGAGACTGTAGCCGAACCAGATAGCATCGAGTAGTTGAGTAATGCAGACGTCTGGTCTGCTGAAACAAGGTTGGTTCACGTCCGACAGCAGCTCGATTGCAGGCTTCAAAGCATGTTTTACTGGTTTCTGCTCGTGGGTTGTGATAGACAAGCAAAAGGAAGCCTATCCAAAAGTCCAAAAGGCTGGTAGCCACAGATTCGGCTTTTGCGGCCATCAAGGAAGATGGCAGTGTCATTGCTTGGGGCTGCGCTAGGTTTGGAGGTGACTGTGGAAGCGTGGCACATCAGCTGGTCCACGTGCAGCAGATTCATGCTTCGGAAGGGGCTTTTGCTGCCATTAAGGAGGATGGTACAGTGGTGACCTGGGGGAACTCGAGTGCAGGTGGTGACTGCTCTGCTGTAGAAGCGGATCTTGTTGACCTGCATCGCATCCATGCAGCCAGTGGTGCTTTTGCAGCCGTTCGGAATGATGGCCAGGTGCCCTTTGACACGTTGTCTCAGAACGGAAAGTCACCTGATGTTTATCTTAGATATCTTAGCTCTGAGGCCCAAAGTTTTAGGGGTCTCTCAGTTGATGGCCAGGTGGTCACCTGGGGCGATCCCTGGGGTGGAGGTGACAGTGGCGCTGTTCATGATAGGCTCCGCCCCTGAGCCTTCGCAAAGCGCGGGCGGAGCAGCGCTGAGCAGCGAGCAGACTGGCCTCATCAGGCCGCAGATGGCTGCAGCCTCCAAGGAGATTTGGAGCTGCATCTGGAGCTGCATCTGATCAACATCCTGCTCACGGCGATGGTCCTCAGTCCTCCATCCAGCCGAAGAAGCAATGCTTTCTCGGCAAGCTGCTTGCAGAGAGCTCCAGCAAGACAACTGAAGGTCCATCCAAGACTCGTTTGGGCGTTTCACTCGATCTCGAAAGGCAGAGGGTGGAGCCAGGCTGAAGGGAAGCACCGGAAAACATATTCTTATTTTGAATCAGCAAGTATTGTTTTCCGTACCTCCCTACTTGAGGACTACCAGACGATTCGCCATCCCTGGTTGTTGAAGCTGCTGCGCCTGTGACTGCAGATTGAGCATGCCTGAATTCAAACGGCCGCATCCTTTTCAGCCAAGGCCTTGAGCTTGGATATCCGGGGCCACATGCTGAAGATGCAGACTTCAAGAGAAGACCTCAGAACTCTACAAACGCATGCCCTGACGATGAAAGCAAAAAAGGGCGTGCTGCCGTCAAAAGTCAACAGCCCGCAGCAAGAGCCGCCGCTACAGGAACCCAAAGCGGAATTGTGACCTTGGGAAAGTTTCTGTGGGCCCTATAACGACTTTGTTCACAGATAAAAAGAGCTTTGGGTTTCTGTCGATTCCGTTGTTGAGTAGATAACGATGGCAACAAACACATACACACATACACACAGGTTTAGACAAGCTTTCCGCGTTCGAGGGGTACTGATGCCTATTCAGACACCAGCGTAGCACGACTTCTTGTGGCTGCTGCCAGGCCGGTGTCATGGCCACAGGCTTGGCGCAGTTTGTCAGGTTAATTCTTCATTTGGGCCATCATGGGCCTGGCTACGACTGGTGCGTAGTCCGGGACTGGCTACCTGTGAGGCGAGGGCGCGAAGCGGGCGAACATTGCAAAGCAGCCAAGGCCACTGTCTGGTCAGTGACTTCATGTTGATCCCAACCTCTCTTGGCTGGATGCACCCGGTGTGACTGCATGAGGCTGGCTGGCTTGGCTTCTCAGCCTCTGCCGCGGACTCCGTCCAGGTGCAACAACTTTCCCAAGTATGCACCCAGTGTCCCTGTTGCACCGACTCGTTACGTAGCTGTCGGGTCTGGCTCTCTGAAACTTGTGTTGCAGGTGCCGCCGGATACCTGCGCCGCTGAGGCCATCATAGTTTGCGAGTGCTTGAAAGGTGTGTTGAGTCTGATCCTGCAGGGAGGCGCCCCGTGCAGCGAGCGCGGCCAACCTGAGAGTGTCGTCTCTGCTCAGTCCACGATCCGGTGCACGATCTCCTCCTCGCCCAGTCCCGTGCTTTCCCGCAAACCGGGCGGAAGCCAGTCTGCCACAAGCTGTAGTGGCAACACCATCGATGCCATCAGGCATCAGCTCTGCTGGAGGTGTTGCCCATGCGACCCCCGTGGCAGCCATCTCTGGCATCAGCTCGGCAGGAGGAATGGGAGGAATGCAGCGGCAAAACGTGGTGCGATCCTATGCCCCTCCTCGTGTCGTGGTGCCAGCATGGGCCTGGCTGCCTTCCTTGCCCTCCCCCAAGCAGGCTTTCCGCAATCCCGCTTGTGTGCCTCATGAAAGTGCAGTGAAGGGAAGGCCTGCCGACTTGGCAGTCATCCCCACACCCAGCAGAGTTCGCACGCAGAGACCTCCTGGCCCCTCCTTTCGGGTGGGCCTGCGGCCGAGCCTGCAACTAAAACACAAGTTCTTTTTCTGTGAGACAGCAGTTTGCTAAGGCCCTCCCATCCGAGCAACCCTGTCTGGGGGAGTGCCCACGGCTTGGCATGCTGTCACAGCGACTTGGATGCAAGCAAAGCAAAGCCGCAGCCCCTCTTTTCTGGTGACAGCCCGACTGCCCAGGCCTGGCGGGTCAAAAGCCTTTCTCCTCCGCGTACGGGACCTAGAGCCTAGAGCTGCTAAGCTTTATTCCAAATTGTTCTGAAGTTGTGTTCTTTTGGCAAGAGCTCATCAAAGCTTGCCAGCCAATGCGAATGCTGCCAGAGCCTCTGAAAGCAACCAACTCATCGCCCGAGGTAACTCCTGCAGGCAGACCTGTTCGCCAGAGGGCTGAGGCCCTCTTCATCCGTAAATTCATGCAAGCCATTACCTGTAGGTTGAAGGATGGGGTACATCCCAGGGCAGGATATCGAAAGAAGCCATAGCATGCTTGTCAAATCCAAAAGCAGTATCCTGTGCATGGCAGATGCCAGCCTGCCCTGGGAACCTCTCAGACTCTCACTGATTTCCTCAAAGAGGGCCTACTCTGAGTGGGACTTGGCCTCATCAGCGGTGGGCAGGGCACCTTGTGCTTCACATGCGACTGCCGGGAACGACCGCATGTGTTGTGTTGAGACGCACAGACCCTCTTCGGTAAAGAATGCTAGCTGCTATCATCATGGTCGTTCAATGCCCGCCGGCTTGAAATTCGCGCATGCCTAGCGGCCTAGCGCTTGCTCTCGTAGGGGTGTGGGGTCGACGTCAAGGTGCTGGCTACGCTTTGCAGAGCTCAAGCAGCCACCACTGCTTCAGTCCCCCGCTCACTGCATGGTTATTGGTTGCTTGGTCGGTTGCACTTCTTGTGGTATAGTAGTATAGTGATCAGAGCATTTGCTCCGACCAATCAGCTTGCTATTTCCGTGGCACCGTTCTAATTCGCACATGTGAAAATTTGATCCTTTCGTGAGTTTGCTTGGGGTTGTCAGTCAGATCCCGGGAATCTGGTTACCTTCATATTTGCTGTTTCCGCAGCCAGGTTGGATCCATCTTAAGTGCTTTCCAGCCATGTTTGTGCTCACCGCAGCTGGTGGGCTGGCTGGTGGCTTTCTCTTTCACAAGTGGCTCTTGCGGCGCCACTTGGCCCCGTGTTTCCGTTGGGATGGATTATTGACTCCTTCCGCGTTGTTGAACTGTTGTGGTTCAAGTCTGCTTAGAAACTTTCAGGCATTGCTCACATCCGCACGGGCCCGCAACGGAGAGCTCTTGTTCCGTTCCTGGGACTGAAGCTTTCATCATGGCAGTCATAGTGCTTTCAGGATCTAGTCGATGAGTCTCCAGTCGCAGTTTTCCAAAGAAAAATTGTGGGTTGGGTGTGGCATAAGTGTGTAGAACCAGCGTGCGCGTGCTAGTTTATGCAAGAAAACTGCGGTAGCCCCTTAAAGCTTGCTTCAGTTTTCATTCTAGCAAGCTGAGAAGAGGAGGACTCTTTTGATGTGGCTGCGCAGCTTGTCCAGAGACGTCAAGCTGAAGGCGCTTGTGAAGGAAACTTTCTTGCATGGGTTCTGCAGTGTGTAGAGGCCCCATTTGGGGCTCTACAAACGTCATCCTGCGTGTGCCGAAGCTGCTTGAACTTATGTAGGTATTTCCCGAAATTTATTACAATTTGGGCCCTTCTCGTGTGATGAATATACGTCCCTAGATAGATGCAGTTTAGGCCAAGTCCCATGCACTTTTTATGGCCCCTGTCTTCTTCCGGGAAGCAAAGAAACCGGAAGCCAAAGCGACCGACCTCTGAGGCCTGAGGAGTGCATCAGCCCGGGAGCAAAGGCCTGAGGGTTTCATGTAGGGAAATAGGCGGCTATGTATATATGTATATAGATAGATAGATCGATAGATATATAGTAGATAGAGGTCATGGGAATAGAGGGGATAGAGAGATACACAGGCTGCACGGCGTTTGGGCTTAGGGCTTACTGGGCCGAAATGAGTACCAATATTTCCAGTAGTGGTGAATGAAATGGCGAAGAACACGGAAGATGAAACGGCAGCCGGTTTTATAAAGGGGCTTACAGGGATACTGACCAATATTCTGTTTAGGGTGCGCAGAAGCTAAGTCTGAGAACCAGGTATACTCTCCAGTGCAGTCTAGATGAAGCAGGGTTCCATTCCCGGTGAATTTTGCTGGCCTAGATTGTTGACTACTTTGACCTGCAAAGGGGGGTGGCTGGGCCCAACAGGGGCCATCCTTGAACCAAGAACCTAGCTGAACCACTATTCTCGCAGTTGATGGGAATAAGTGACTGTATGGAAAAACATGATGACTGCCGTCATTCATCATTCCTTTTCTCACCCCCTTTCGTTGCTGTCCAAGACTTGGTTGGTGGCTGTTTCTGGCAATGCCCAAAAAGCCTAGAACCTGAGCTCAGCGTGGGAGGCAGTGGCAGCAAGCTCCGATGTCGAGCTAAAGGCTGCCATGCACAGCCAGGCACCCAGGTTGGTGATAAATTTGGAAGAGGGATGATTTAGCTCCCCGTAGAAGAGGATTTTTGTTCAGGTTTTGTTTGGGCTTCGGGGGTAGTCCAGGGCCCAGGCTCCAGTGTCAATGTTTTTGGCTAGAGTGATGTCGCGAGCGCAACCCCTGGGCTGAGCCCCTGCAATTGCTTGTAAATCAGCTTTTGATTTTGGATTGTTGCTGTTCCCAGTATCAAGAGCTTTCTGCAAAAAGCCTCCAGGATTGCAGGCAACAGGGCTTCTTACATCACAGGTCCCACTGGTATGCCGAAGCAAGAGGGTCTTTATGTGCTTTTCTGGGTGTTTGCGTGGTGAGCTTCTCGAAGCTACGTTCTAATCGCATCGTTAGCTGGAGAACCAAGAAAGATTGTCAGAAATTGCAGTTGCCCAGAGACTCCTGCAAGTGGCCAGCCACCTGCTGCTCAGGCCTGAAGGACGGAAGCCAACGCTTTAGTTACACCTTGAAGCCGAAGAATAAAGCGCCTACACATGCCATTGCTCAGAGCTCAGTTTGACATTTGGAAGAGGGAATTGAAGGTTTCGAGCATGTCCTTCTCGACAGGTTTTCGTGCACGGCTACACTTCCAATTCGGACCTCTATGTGGAGGCTTGAGGGCTTCTTAGCTCTACGCCTTTGGCACTTGTACTGTTCCTCTGCCAGATCATGGCGGAATATGCCCGAGCCGGTGCTGTAGTGTTGAGACTTGGCTCTGCAGACGGGTTGCGGCATCTTCACGCCAGGTAGCGTAGGCCTCGTGATAGTCAAGGATGGCTTGAGGGAAGACGTCAAGACAGTGTGGTTTGGCAGCTCTGATTCCCAACCCCCGGATCATGAGCCTCTGCGCTGACTGCCAAAATTTTGTTCACTCATCTAATATGGTAAAAGCACAGGCATTCTGTTTCGGGCCTGGCGACCTTGCGGTGAAATTGTAGCATTTAGTCCTTGGCGACTTCGTTCAGACATTCTTTCACACGGATCTGCCTTGCGACATCGGTCCTTTCATTGTTGTTTTGCTTGCTGATTGTTGGTTTCTGCGCGGAGTGATGCCTGGTCCGGCGACTGTCAATTTCAGACTACGAGTCTCAAGCCTGACCCTGACCAAAGAGCCTCAAGTTGGCTGTTTTTGCCATCACCCTCGCCACCACCACCACCACCACGGCCACCGCCGCCGACGCCGCCGCCGCCACCACTACCCCCGCCGCCGCTGCGACGACCACCGCAACCACGATGATGATTCCTGTTTCTATTCACACTCCAATGACTGCTATTTCTACCGGCCCTATTACTCCTACTAAGCTCGTTGCATCGGCAGGTGAGACCAATGAATAGATCCTTCTTGGCATCACCTGTGTTCTTGGGGTCGGTCGTACGCTGCTCCTTCCATTCCAGTAATTAGCAGAGGATGCCAGATCTGCCTGGGCACGGGCGTTCTGAAGCTTGGTGAGCAACAGGGAGCCGACAACAAGTAGCTGGAGGGTCTGTTTCAGGGTGACGGCACTTGACATCTCACAAACGCCCTTGTCAGTTCGTTGCATTACTTTTTGTTCTTTTTCATTCCGCTGAATTCCGTCTGTTGCTTGCACTGCATACCTTCTGTTCTGTTCTTCATGCAGTGGTGTTGTGTTCCTTTCTGCATGTTTCATGCTGTTCTGGTTTTGGCTTGGTCCAGGCTCGGTCCAATTTTGGACATAGAATCGCCACCCTAAATCTGTCGAGATCAGTTCATAATCATACTTGGATCGGGTTTTGCATTTGGGGTCGCAAACCAAACTGAAGTGTTTGTGGGGTGTACTTGATAGGATATTTGTGTAGGTAGTGGATCAGTTCGGCTTGCATGAAGCTGCATCATTCACATTGTGATCTGTCGCTTCAGCTAGAAGATGATGAGCCCGCAAAATCACAGGCGCCTTCTTCGTATCTGCAGCGCAGTAGGCTACTAATGCTCTGCCCGGCGGCATGAAGGCGCGACAGAAGGGCACCCGACTTCGGTCGCAAGATGCAGGGAAGTATGACGTACGTCGTTGCCAAGAGGTGCACGTTTATGCTTTACGTCTGGGCTTGATGAACTGGGATGCATAGTAATCATAGTAGAGCCTTCCTGCAGAGGCAATGCTGATCTAGTACTCCAATCCAATTCAAAACCGCCTGAAGATCAAATTGAACATCTAGTCAGTTTGCAGTCCCAGAGCCAAGTTCCTCAGCCAAATTTCAAGAACAAGCCTGGGATGGTTTTTCATTTCATGTTCCAGTTTCTTCCAACCTCCCGTTTGTAACCCGTCTATAACCCCTATATGACCTCTATATAACCCCAATAAAATCTATAGAGCCCTATAAACCCCACATGACCCCTAAAAGAACCCCTGTGAGCCCAATACATCCCTACAAGCTCAAGTGTAGGATGGCTTGCTGGCCTACATCACTGATTGGTGGAGCTTCATGGATCAACTCTGGGAGCACACGGAAATTCTTATGCAGCTCAGATGTGCTAAACGGGGGCTTCTAAAAATTAGGGCCCCCTTTCTTGGGGGTACCTAGAAGGATTATGGCGCATTGAGGTTTATATTTGGGCCCCCCATTTTGCGAAAACCCTAAATGAATGCATTGTAGCAGGATAAACACAGATATCCGCACAGGGTGCTTGGAGCCACACGATAGGTTCCTTGTCTCATGTGTCCTTGGGCTTCCACTGTGACACACAGCTCCCATAGCCTTGCAGCTTGAGTACGTAACAGGCATTCTCATCGTACTGACAGGAAGTCGCAGATTTGATGTCCGAATCTTGTAGATCTGCACCCAAGCAAAAGAGTTTGAGCCCTGAAGGTCCAAGGAGGGCATGGTGGACGGCAAGTCGCTACCAACTTTTGTAGCAGGACCTGGCCGCAAGCACCGGCTTCTATTCTTTTAACGTCTGATCCCCTACTCCAGAACAACTTAACAGTGCCCCCTACCGAAGACAGCACCAGAGAACTCATTCGGCTGTCCAGGAAACTCGTTGGGTGGTGGTATGGCGGCCTGCATGGTCCTGCAGAGACCCACCTACTTTCGAGGGGTACCTCAGCTGAATACATGCGCTGAATGAAGGCTTCGCCTTGAAGGCGTTTCCAGGTTGCATGCTTTGAGCTCAGGCGATCTTGCAAGGTCCTATGCTGACTGTTAGCGATGAAGTGAAGCCGCCTTGGATTGTGCAGATGATCTTCAAACACGTAGTTGCAAGATTGAGCCTTGACTGCATGGGAACTGTCACGCAAGAAGAGGGGGACTTACTTTCTCTGTCGGATGTGAACTGCACAAGGTTGCCCAACTGGCCGCTTTCCCCCATCAAGAGTGCGGCACCTGGTGCTTACAAGTGTTCTTGACCACTCGATGGCCACCCTCAAACCACGCTCAGTACCCATGCCCGATATGTACTGTACGCGATTGTACGAGCAATGACGGTAAGGCTAGAGATAACTCAAACACATCTCATAACAGCAGAACAAACTTCTAGTGTGGGTAGTACTCGTCAAGACGTCGATGTTGCGAACCCGTACTCTGTGGCCAAGGCCTTGCGAACTTTGACTTTCGAGTCCCAACGATGGGGCCTGTGACACTTTGCTGCACTCGGTGCTCATTGCTAGAACTACTGCTCGCTGCTGCTGCTGCTGCTGCTGCTGCTGCTGCTACTATTATCATTATTACTACTACGACGACGACTACTACTGCTACTACTGCTGCTGCTACTACTACTACTACCACTACTACTACTACTACTACTACTACTACTACAGGTCCAGACCTTTACAGGGGTTTGTCGGATTGAGAGCGTCAAGCTCAGGGACTGGTTCGGTTTGTTTGATGCCATGACTAAGGTATGAGGAAGTCAATCCGTTCTCCATGAAGGGAACTCTGCCTTTTTTGGCCTCTGGCCGAGAGATGGGCTTTACCTTCATTGATTGGCTGGAGGACCACCTGAAGGAGGCTCCGTGCAGAATCAGCTTCAGAAGTGAATTGCTATTGCTTTGATTGGTGAGTTCTGCATTAAGCCCAGCATACAACTAGACCAAGTTGGATTTGTCGGGTGGGTCGTAAGCAGAGTGAAATAAAGAGGAACTAAGTTCAGTCACTAAATTTCTTCTTTGCGCTTCAGTACTCCGTTATTGCTGGTTGTCCTTGTCGTTGGTGTCGGACTTGCTTTTTGCCATTCTCCTCGCTATGTTGCCGTTAGATTCATGCTGGAAGGTGCGAACCCCTTTCCTCGTACAGCACGGCAAGTCGGACAAGATCACAGATCCCGCTTCGTCGCCGCGATGCTGCAGAAGCTTACTGTTGCTGCTATTCAGAAGCATAGACTTATCAGAGCATCAGAATTGCAAAGCAGGTAGTCTGTTGCCCTTGTTGTTGTCCTTGGTTTAGTTGCTTTGCTTTGGCTAATGCCCTACAAATGGATGCGCTCATGGTGAAATTTCGATGATAACCTTAATGGCTGTGGTGTCACATCAGGGAGGATGGGGTTCCACTCCACAGTCGAGCTGAACTTGATTCTGGGCTGTGGCCAATAAATGTATGGCAATTTAGTTCTGTCGGATCATGCAGTTGCTGATTTCCAAGCCCAAGAGACAGCAATCTCCCAGGTCCAGGAGCAAGTCCGAAATCGTAATCTTTGAGCCCCAAATCCTGCAAAGCTCCAAGTCCTTAGCTGCTGAATGCGGAACACATCGTCTTCAGGCAGCGCTTGTACGATGAGGCAGCAGCTACAGACAAGACGCTCCGACTCTATGATGGGGTGCCTGGGCTTCGGTTCCAATCGTGCCCGCCTCCGCAGGATTGCCATTGATGGCGGCAAAGCCCTGATAGCAGTAGTGATGGTGGTGATGATGATGGTGGTGATGGTGATGGTGATGGTGATGGTGATGGTGATGGTGATGGTGGTGGTGGTGGTGGTGGTGGTGGTGGTGGTGGTGGTGGTGGCAGTGGCGGCGGCAGCAACGATGGTGATTGTGATGGTGATGGCACTGGCGATGGTTATTTGAAATGTAGGAAGCAGATGAGATCGACGCTGGCGCATGCGTTCAGAAGAGCTACCACTGCTGATCTTGCTGCTGCTTGTGCGGCTGACTCCGAAGCTGCAGCTGTTGGGCTGGCTGATTGTTGATCATGCTGCTGCAATGAGGCCTCTCAACTATTATCAGCATCATCCACCCTCATTTTCAGATTGCCATCATCAGCATATTCGTTAGGGTGATCCTCATCAGCACAGCTAACTGGCTATCAGCATGGACTTACTGTTGTTGCTGTCATGACCGTCAGGGCTGCCTTTTTGTACTGCCATTTGCTATGCCAATCATTCCCAGCAGAGATCATCATGCTAATAAACGTGACGGTGGAGGTCAGGACGACGGCTTGTAGTTACACGTTTAGTCGTTGCCAGTTGTACGCGATTAGAATACAGCATTCTCCATATTCTTGTCCATTAACCCTATAACCCCTATAAATGAAAAGCTGGTGGTTTCCATTTTCTTTTTCATCAAACATTAGCCCCTGGACTCATTGATACTCGAGGTGTACCACTGTGAGCTGATATGCTGTACGCCCGGCGGAGCTGCCTTCACTGGCTTAACCTGGCTTCCAGAGCAGGTCCATATGAACTTCTGTAGTAAGAAGAACGGCATCTTTTGTTCATCGGTTTGCAAGGAGCTAGGAGAGTACCTACCAAAGGAGAGTAGACAGAGCCTCAATGAGAGAACAATAAGATGGATTCCTTTTCATCCGAGCTCTCAAATAGGCTTTGCCCTCCCATGCGGCAGGTGTCTGCAACGGAGCAGTGCATTCAGGATGCGAAAGCCTGGATGGCAGCGAGGGTTTGAGTCGCTTTGGACAGAAACCAAGTGCAAGCAAATGACCTTGGGTAGCTTGCGTGTGCCAAGCAGCCGAATCGCAGAAGCATCTGTACCCCAACATTTTGCATTTTCCCGTTTTGCTTTGGCGTATTAGCCTTGGCAGTTCTGCCGTCAAACGTAGGTTTGATTCCAGCTTGCTGCTGTGCTGCATCCAGAACTGGATCCACAGCTGATAGATAATGCCGCTGCAAGTGCATGGCGAAATCAAGCCGCCAGAAAAGAGCTCTGAGCATGATGTTTGCCCTGTGTACACCAAGCCAGCTTGCACACCTACAGTCGTGCCTCATGCAGCTTGTCCTTGAAGGAAGACCCTTGACACGCCTTGACTTCATCGGCTCAGCATTTGCTGAGTATGACCAGTTCTAGGATACCGGGTCTTCAGGCCGGGGGTAGCAGTCCCGCTCCCAGCAATGCTGACCAGAGGAAAGCAGTGTGGAGTAGATGACTTGGCTTGACAACAGCCAATCTCAAAACTTGATCAGAACTGCAGGTCCTGACGGCACGGGGTGTGCGCGGTCTACAGCCGCTTGTGGATGCCTGAGCGGCATAAGGGAGATTGAAGCAGGGCTGGCGTCTGCGCTCTTGAGAACTTTTGACATGAGACAAGCTGAACCATTGAACCATAACTACGGAGCTTCAAAACCTGACGCAGGCATCATCTGAAGCAATCTTCTCAAACATTTTCGCAGGCTGCTTTGGGGCCATGGCAGCTTCGTGCATGCTGGCCTGTCCCAGGAGCTTTGGGTTCTGCGCTAGTCCGCCGCACAGTAGTTGTGGCTGCATGGCGACACATGAGCTCTTAGTTCAAGACTTTTGGGAAGACCTACCTTCATGAGGCAGTCTTCGGGTCTAAGTTGGCTCATGCTCTGGAAAATTACTCAACCGCCCGAAGCGCACCTGTGAGATTCGATACGTCCACTATGGTTCAGGAGTTTTGTTAGCACCCCGTGGCCTGAGCCCTGCCCTCAGACACCGAATTCTTCAGGGCGCGGCTTGCATAATTCATAAGGTGATGACTGATTAGATTTCGGATACAGCAGTCACCAAAATAGAGTAGGATTCTAATGTCCCTATTGTTGTAGCATTTGAGAAGCAAATATCCTGACGTGGTTCAAACATCCAGCAAAAGCAGCCCTCAAATGTTGAAACATGGATCCTTGTCTTTGAGAGGGCACCAGTTTGGAGACACTAAAGCCCCCTACCTCCCAAAGCCCAGGCAAAGATTCCCCTCGTCTCCGAGCCGCCTTCCTGCCCTGCTTCTGCGATTTGGTCGCGCAGAGTTGTGATGCAGTTCTGGGGATGTACTTTCGGAAGCATACGGCTACGAGGGCTGTCAGCCTAGTCCCCAAAGCAGAACACAAGTATGCCTTCTATTGTGCAGTGTTTTTGTAAATCGTCATAAGATAGAGACAATGTGATCCATTGATATAGTCGGTGGCACACCTTATTTGCGGAATCATGGAGATGTTCTGTTTCGGCTTTAGCTGCGGCTGGTCTTCTAGCTTCGACTGGCGGCTGAACCTTTGAGAACTTATGCAAGTCTTCACAATTAGCTAGCCGTAGAGTCTTTCACCTGTGGAGAGCGAGCACAGGTAGCATGGAATTTGCTATTGTATCTCACTGCGGAACACTCAAATGCAAAACGAGAAGGTGGCAAGTTACAACCAGCACTTCTGGCGGGTGTATTGGCAGTATCAGGCATGTCCAGGGGAGACTTGCTTCACTTGCAGGGACCTGCGTCCCACAAGCCTCCTCAACCGCCTCTCAGCATAGTACCATGTTACAGTGGCACGTGTAGGACAAGGGAACAGGACGATAAGTAGTGCTAACAGAAGCAAAATCATGGCATTCAAACATAAGCTGGGCTTGGATACTTTGAAAGACATACAGGGGCTGTGTAAGGTTATAGGGGAATGCAGAAGAACATGGAAACTACTATATCATGTTTGGGACTACATGGGGCTATACAGGGATAAGGGACAAGAGCGTGGATATTTCTATAGTACTTTGTAGGGATTTATTGGGAATACAGGGATGATGCCATGGTATTTCAGGGGGTATAGAGGGATAATCGAAAGCAACATGTAAACTACTATATTCTGTTATCGGAATTGCATACTGTTTGGGTTGTGTCGGGATAACGGAAAAGAAATTGAAACCACAATTTAGACTTGGGGGTTTAGGGATGTATTTTTTAGCTTACTCCTTCAGAGAAGTGTGGTACCTGTGAAGGAAACTTTGATCGCTCAAGGTATGACAAACTCCTTGTGAAACCTAGTCTCCATTCCATTTCCATAGAACCCACGTCGTCCCGTATAACCGCGAGAGATCCCTAGCTTCTATGTAATTTTCGATTTGTTTCCATTTTCTTTTTCATTTGAATTTCCATTATTCTTCAAAGGTCCTACATAATCCCAATTTCCTACATCACCCCCTAGATCCCCCTTTAGAAAGGACCCAGGGTTTCCTTTTAATTTCCCATTTCTTTTTCCACGTGATTCTCCATTTTTAGCCCAAACCTAAACCCTGAACCCATGCCAGGCTTGTCTGGGAGACCTGGAGCTGGGTCCGAAGCTGAAGTTCACACGTGTAGGCCCTGTAGCTCATACGAATTCAGACTGCTTGGGCCGAGGTACTCCAGACCAGAGGGCCGGCATGAGCTCCCCCGACAGCTTGCAGGCAAGGACAGCTTCTTGAGCTCAGGACCTTTGTAAGACCTTTGCATCCTACTCTTCCGATGCCGTTCAAGCGGTGGGTTTCCGGGTAGCCGTCAGCCGGCAGAGTCATGTGCTAGATACTGTAGTGACAGCTACAGGGAACCTCGATGATTTTAGCCCGTCAAATATTTGGCACGTGCTGCTCTGACAGAGACGGGAATTGGTGCTGTAGCTGTGCTGCTCAGCCAGCGGTCCAACAAATCACCTTTCCCAGGTATTTTGTTCGGACTCACAACGCTCCGAGCGTTTGGAGGCCTTGCAGCCCTGATGTCACATTGCGCTCCGGTTCGTCTTTCTCAGTAGCGCCCACTGCTTCGCACGCAGACAGCTGTACGTTGGCAATGAGATCCGTTGGGGAAGGGTGCACAGAAGAGATCAGGGCACTTGCGTGTGTAAACATGTTGGCCGCTCTGTACCCTCCAGCCCTCCAGTACATTGGGCTGGGGATCCTGGCTATACGACTTCTCAAAATGGTATCCACTTGATTGCTTCACCCTACGTGATGTGAGCCATTCTCAAGTGCCCAAGAACTAATATGATCCCATCCACCAAGTCTCTGCAGCCCAGCCTCGCCAGGAAGAGCCCAAGGTTCGGAGGCAGCCTTCCAGATGCGGGAGGCATGTTTCCGTCCTTACATGGCTCTGTTGAATCATATGACTGTTAACACGAACGTCCATTGCGTTACACCTGGCGCAATGTACGACAATTGCTGCTTCTTTTGCAGCACAAGGCAAAAGAGTAGCAGCAGTCGTGGCATCTGTACTACTGCTACTTTTTCAGTAGTGGTAGTGCAAGGACAGCAAGAGTTGAACACTACTACCACTTCCTTGCTACAGCTAGAATTGCTACTGCTAGAATTGCTACTGATTGTGCCATTTCGTTGCTGGTTTTGGGAGTGTTCCTGCTTGTTCGTAGTACGTTCTATCTGCAAACGCAAGCACGACTAGTCTTGCTAGTCTCATGATGTCTACTGTTCCCATGATTGCAAGGACGGCTGTGCTTGTTGATTTTGCATCATCCGTTCAGTAGCGATTGCCAGGGTTGTTGCTATCCCTGGGCCCGTCGACATTGGACTGCGGTGTTTGGGGATTGCCATCATCCCTGGCAGAGGCCAAGCGCAAGCGCGAAGCCTCCCAGTTTTTTACGTACCAGGCCAGGCTCCTGAGGCCGAGCACTCAGGAGATCTCAGGAGTTTCTGAATGGGATGGAGGGATGCCCTTCCCAACAGTCTTTGAGGCTTGGCCTCCAAGGAGCCGGGTTCGGATTGCGAGTACATGGCGAACTGGAACCGAGCAAGACGGAAGCCAGGGAAAGGAAAGAGAAACCACATGCAGCAGAGCTGGAGCCTTCTTAGTTTGTAGGATCTACTCGGAATGATAAGAAGACGAACACTCTCGAACGCTATTCTGCTCGGTTGCAGCTGATGAATTTCATTATGCGTGTCCTCCGCGTCGAAGCAACCAACGGAGCATTTGCTGCAGCAGTAGCGGCAGTTGTAGTGATCATAGTGGTAGTTGTTCTCGTGGTAGTTGTGGTGGTGGTGGTGGTGGTGGTGGTGGTGGTGGTGGTGGTGGTGGTGGTGGTGGTGGGGGCGGCGGCGGTGGTGGTGGTGGTGGTGCTGGACGCGGTGGCGGCTGGAAGCAAAACCAAGCGCAGGCAGCAATACTGGCAGCTGTCGTAGTAGTACTACCCTGCTGCAGCTGCTGTTGGTGGTGATGGTAGCGGCAAGAAATCTTGTAACAACTCTATCATGGCTAGTTCCAGGACGGGAGAAATGGGGATCCCGGGCTAAGGACCGGCGTGCCTCCGCGAGACGATTTGTGCCTAGCCGAGAATTGTGGATATTTGTCGCAATCCTCCCTACAGATACATTTCCTTTACACCCCCCACATGTTCCCGGGGTCCCGAAGGGCGCCCGCATTTCAGAAACTCAAATCTGGCAAGCATGGGATCATTTCCCACATTGCGGAGTGCTACATGAAAGCCTTTCGAAGCAAGATCAACACCGAATCTACATGGCCACGCAAACCATCACAACGGTCCTTACTTGTGCAGATGTATAATAGGGATTTCAAAAGGTGGGTTGGATCTTAAACCCATGAAGCACGTGGGCCAGCCGGTGGAGAAGAGGAGCCTTGGGCTACCTGCGTGGGCAAGCACTATTGACAAGGTACATCCGTTCTTACTTCTTTAGTCGCTTCTGACTAGTTCCCTGACATTCGCCACGAAACTGTCTCTTCCATGCAGGTA